AAAAACCAAGCAATAATACTAAAAATAATAATTGTTGTATAGGAAAATACTTCGAGAGAGAATGAATGAATTATTATTAAAGAGTTTCAAATATGCTTTATTTAATATAGAGAATTAATTGCTTAATCAATTGAGAAAGTTGTTCATTTGAAGAATCAATGGCTGAGTGATTACACCAATGAATGGATAGACATAATTATCATGCAGCAACAATATTGAAATAATAATTGGTAATTCTATGGTAGATGAAGGAACTTATTTGTTTTTTTTTTTGACAAAGAAATTAGTTGTTTTATTTATTTATTTTTTTGACAAAGAAGTTAGTTGTTTTATTTTGTTTTTTGACAAATAAATACTACTCACAGAGAAGATCCACTTAATTTTTAATTGGTTATCCCACTCAGAAAGATGAAGAAAATTAATGAGACTAAAAGTTATGAAGTATTCTTAAATGAATAATTGAGGACAATGCTATACGCACTTCCTCGTCTTCGTGTAGCTTTCACATTGTTGCAAGAGTGCAGACATATAAGTATTATAAGTTATAGGTATATGACTGTTAAGATTTCAGAGTCGTCGTTCTTGCTTAATAACCAACACAACTTATAAGTATTTAATTTCATCACAAATTATAGATCTTGGTTATTAATAATGAAACCATTCATTTAAACATAGTAGTATATTTTGTTTAGTTTTCGGTGTAGAATTACAATAGTTTAACTTAAGATATCTATCTCCCTTGAATGCCCCACATAATACGTACTTCTTGAAAACTAAAAACCTTACGTGATAAGTTTTACGTATTTTGTTTTAAAGTTGAGATGTATGTCGGACGCAATTGTGGTACTTGTGATCCTTGTGGAAAATTTGTAATCCGCCTTAGCATCTGACCACCGACTTTGGAGGTCCAAAAGCATCGAAGTCTTTTCCATTTTTCTTCTTTTATAGGTAAAGTAAAGAAGGCCATCAAAAGTCTTTCCTGGAATTTTAGTGGTCTATTTCTTCATTAGTTTGGTCTGGCGGCAGGTACTAGGTCTTGTTCGAGATTCATCATTTAGACTTGCAAAATTGGATTAGGAAACCATATTTTTCATTGAACATCTCCGGCATAAGGAGGACACCTGGGCTTCCCATTAAGGTTTCCGTGTTCGGAATTTTTGTTCTTTTTAAAAATAACCTAAATTTGATTGTGACCTGTGTAATTTTTTGTTAATTTTTATTTGGAGGTGCTTTTAATTAAAGGAAAACTAAAAAAATGCTTGAAAACTTCGAATTTTAATAAAAAAGGACAAAAATGTGTTGTAAGTGAATAGTTCCAGAAGTGACTTTTTAAAGTAAAAAAGTTATTTTCGTTAAAAGTGAACAATACCGGTAGTGTTTCTTTAAAACTCCCTTTAATTAATTGATAATTAAATTTTAACATACATTGAGTACACTTCTTCTTAGCATCTTTAAATAAGTTTACGTCGACAATTTCGTCTTCATTTCGTTAGGTGCGAATTTCAGTCTTGCACTCTCTCTTTCACATGCAATGATGTTCTGTTAGACTTACTGGAAACCTTAATTTAATGTTTTACTAATGGACCACTGCTTTGACTGAAATAATACATTTTCGGAGAATACAAAATTCATTAAATGAATCAACTGCCATATCTCTTGATCAGCTCGACAAATTTTTACGTGTATAATATAGTTTTAATCATAACAATACCAGTCGACAATATAATTTTTATATTACATTTTTAAAGCATATTTGGATAATATATATATATATATATGTATATGTATATATACACGAGTTTTGTTAGAATACACTTTCACATCACGATTTTTCCTTAGAAAAATACATAATTCACTAAAGTAATGAAACTACCATATCTCTTTTTTGCTTTTCCTAACAACCGGCTTCTTGAGCACATCAACCTTCTTTTGGATTACTTTCATACTTGTTCTCACAAAGGCATTATGTATACATATAATGTACATATAAGATGTAGGGACATTGAGATTTGGATTAAAAAATCAACATGGCTATTAGGTTAAGTCCAGTATTACCTTTTTCTACTTTATTTATTTTCTACTCATTTTAAAATTTTAAAATTATTAAATAAATTAAAATCTTTTTATTTTCATACATCTTCTAATTCTTAAAAATCTACTTAATATCTTCTAACAAAAAACTAATATGCTAATATAAATTCATGTGCAGAACATATGATCCTAACTCAAGTAACAAATTCATGAATGTATATTATACATATAAGAATGTACATTATACATATAAGCGAGATATGCAACCTAATTAAAATGTAAAAAACATAATATTCAAGCAAGCAAAGCACATTTATCTATGATACATGTTGATTACAAAAAAAAAATATTTATCATAAAGGTAGATAAATACAATTAACCTAGGTATAGATTGGTTATAAAAATTAAAAATAAAATCTATGAATAGGGTTTAGAGTACAAAAAAGAAGAAGAAGTAAAAAAAAAAGAAATAATTAAAGAGATAATTAGGAAGAAATTTAACAATCAAACTCAAGAGAATGAACTTATTTTAATAAATTAGATTATTTTTATATTGACTAAAAAATTAGACTTATACAAAGTTTTGTCTTAGAGGATAAATATTTTGTTCTAGAATTCATTTGTGTATATATATTAGTTTTCTCACATGCCAATCACACATAGAACATGTTTCTTTGATCTTTACAAAGTCTACATTTGTGCTCCCACAAATTCTATATCTTCTTCCTTTCCTCTTTCAACTATCATCCCTCATTTTTCTTGTTAATTTGTCCAATTTTTTTTTATTGGAAAGAAGAGAAATTAAAAGTAAAAGTAAAGATGATATACATTATATCTTTTGAATGTTGATATATATATATATATATATATATATATATATATATATATATATATATATGGCCTCAAGGTAGAGCCGTGTAGCCCACCATGCATGCATGGAACGCATTGCCATATTTATTTATCCAACTCGCATGGACTATTTGGTATAGTAGAAGTATTATTTCCAGTTTGACAAGGAAGTTGGAATTGCATGTATAGTGCACATTGTTTAGTTTCATTAGAAAAATAAACAAATAAACAAAGCATGCAATATAAACTGAAATTAAAAAGGCAAATAGCTTTCCGTGACATTAGTTTTTAATTGCACCATGGATTTCACTCACAAATTTAATAAGTTTTTAGAAATTGGGCTTACAAGCCCTTCTACGTACAAGCATCAGTCATACTCTCCTAAGATTCTTACTAAGATATATGAGGATCAAATGCAGATTAGCTACAAAATTATATTAGTTTAGATTTAAATGCTTAAAATATTTGATAACCTAATAAAGCAAAACCAAATTAAATCCATGAACCATTAGAAAACTCATTTTCTTATTTTGCTTTATTAAATTGCCAAATGTTTCAAGCATTTGGATCTATACTAATATAATCTTATGACTAATATGCATATGGTCCTCACAAATCTTTAATATGAGGACTTTAGGAGAGCATGAATGGTACAGGCACACCGACTAAAATTAGTCCTCCTCTCAAAATATAATTTTACAAGTCTTCTTCAAAGAAAATACTTTCAATATTGTGTCAATAATCTATCAATATTGGGTCGAGAATGTATTAATATTGTATCGATAATGAGAAGATATTTTGGTTAAAAGAAACTAGTAAAGTTTGCACTTTGATAAGATGCCTATTTTTAGGTGGATTTGTAAAATGGTTCCTAAATCTAATTTCCTAAAGTGTTTTTTAGCACTTAATTAGAAGGTTAGCATATAGCAGTGAGTGATGAATATGGGGAGTCAGCGTGTGGGGCGCATTTGGTGAGGTCAGGGCGAAGAAGGGGACCAGCAAATGACGACACGTGTTCAGCGTGACTCCGATTGAGGGAGGAACGCGGGGTTAGACTTGTATGGAGGGACCAACACCGCCCACCCCACCAAAACAAAAACAAAAACAAACCCAATATTTCCATTAGTCCCATTTTTACACTAATGGGCCAATGGCCGAACTCAAATTACCACCACTTTTCTCTCTTCCAAATTTTCTATTTGTCAAATTAATGTCGCTATTACCCAACATATACCCACCAATTCAGTGCGACTTGCAGAAGCTACGTATGAATATGTAGTAGAAGTTTCTTGGAGTCACTTCCGGGTCGCTATATAATATTACTGATTTGTTTACAGTATATTACGTTAATATACTAATCAAATAATAAATTTTAATTTTACGACATACCGGTTTTATTGTCTACTCCGATCATAAAACTCAAACTAGTAATATCATGCGGTGTTGTGCCCCTCACTCTTTAGAAAATTTCATAAAATTTGCGTTCCAAAATGAAAAAAAAATGCGTTTATAAAATATGAGCACATGATTTATACTCAGTTTTCAAACCAAACACCAAGTTAGTAATTTGGTCGAGAAATATATGCAAAACTCAATAGTAGGTTGTCTCAATCATCCTACTTGGTATCAAAGAAAATAAAAAAGGTTGTCAATAGTATTAATAACAGTCCAATTAATTTATATTTTGTTCTTCAAAATTATCACGTGACATAAACAACCAACTCAAGTTTATATTTGCGAATAGATTACATTGCATTGTAATCAATGTGACAATGTCTTGTGATTTTGTTCTAAATTTGAGGAAGTTTCACGTGGAATATAATGGTATAAAAAGAGGAAAGAAAGAAAGAAGCCAGAAAAGGCAACTCATAAGAAAACAGAAGCACAGATATAAGAAGTGGTTCGTGTCATGTTATTACGCAAGTAGACCCCCCCACCCACCACTACCTCGTTACTTATTGGTAATCCTGAGTCCCCAATTCTTGTAAATCCAACACGTGGTCTCTCGCTACATGTTTGAGGTGGACCTCCCTGCCTCCTTCTCCCTCCCTATATATACCCTCCATGTCTCTCACCCGTTTCGTCCAACACACAACCCCCCAGTCCCCTCATTGCTCACTGCACTGATCTCTCTCTCTCCCCGAAAATCCATTCCAAAAGCAAACCATACGCGCTCTCTCCTCTCCCTCTCTCTCTCACTCACTTACTGTCGAACAAAGCAGAAACAAATTTACTTGCCCTTGAAGGCCAATCAAGAGGCACCATTCTCTGCTACTACTAATAGTAATTTACTAAAAGTGAGAAAACCATGACCATGCCTTCCACGGCAACAACGGCAGCTACAGGTACACGGGTTAAGCCTGTTACTGGTACTACAAGACACCGCCGGCTTCCTTCTTTAAACTCTTCAAATTCCTTCAGAAATCAATTGGGATTTTCCCCCTCTTCTTCCTCAATTTTCAAATCAAAAATCATCTCTTGCTCTCTGCAAACACCTTCTCTAGTCCAAATTCCCAAACACTCCCCTACCTACCAACAACCTTCAACTTCAACTTCCACTAAAATCCCAAGAGAAAATAAGACCCAAAAGTCCCCAACTTCTTCAAAGCCAGTGCCACAACAATGGAACTTGTTACAGAGAGCAGCATCCATGGCTTTGGACGCAATGGAGAGCGCTCTGCTTTCCAAGGAAAAACAACACCCACTTCCCAAAACATCCGACCCAGAAGTCCAAATCGCCGGAAACTTCGCTCCGGTGCCGGAGCACCCCGTCGAACACTATCTACCGGTGACCGGAAAAATCCCCGACTCAATCCAAGGCCTCTACGTCCGAAACGGCGCCAACCCACTTCACGAGCCGGTCGCCGGTCACCACCTCTTCGACGGCGACGGCATGGTCCACGCCCTCCAGTTCAAAGACGGAACCGCCAGCTACGCTTGCCGGTTCACCGAAACCAGCCGTATCAGCCAAGAACGTGACCTCGGCCGTCCCCTGTTTCCCAAAGCCATTGGCGAGCTCCACGGCCACTCCGGCATCGCCCGCCTCCTCCTTTTCTACGCCCGAGGGATGTTCGGACTCGTGGACCCCACCCACGGCGTCGGCGTCGCGAACGCCGGCCTCGTCTACCACAACGGTCACCTCCTCGCCATGTCGGAAGACGACTTGCCGTACCACGTCCAAATCACCGAAACAGGGGACCTCAAAACGGTCGGCCGCTACGACTTCGAAGGGCAGCTGAAGTCCACAATGATCGCCCACCCGAAGGTTGACCCCGCCACGGGGGAGCTCTTCGCGCTCAGCTACGACGTCGTTCAGAGGCCGTACTTGAAATACTTCAAATTCTCCCCAAACGGCGAGAAGTCCCCCGACATCGAAATCAACCTCGAGCAGCCCACCATGATGCACGACTTCGCCATTACCGAACGACACGTCGTAATCCCCGACCAGCAGGTGGTGTTCAAGCTGCAGGAGATGATCGGCGGTGGGTCCCCCGTGATTTACGACAAGAACAAGATGTCGCGTTTTGGGATCCTCGACAAGAATGCCAAGGACGCGTCGGGAATCCGGTGGGTCGACTGCCCCGACTGCTTCTGCTTCCACCTCTGGAACGCGTGGGAGGAGCCGGAGACGGACGAGATCGTCGTTATCGGCTCGTGCATGACGCCCCCGGACTCCATTTTCAATGAATGCGACGAGAATTTAGAGAGTGTTCTGTCAGAAATCCGGCTCAATTTGAAAACCGGCAAGTCGACGCGCCGCCGCATTTGCTCCGAGAATCTGAACCTGGAAGCTGGGATGGTGAATCGGAACAAGCTAGGGAGAAAAACCCAGTTCGCGTATTTGGCCCTGGCGGAGCCGTGGCCGAAAGTTTCGGGTTTTGCGAAGGTGGACCTCTCCACTGGTGAGGTGAAGAAGCATATCTACGGTGACGAGAAGTACGGTGGCGAACCTCTGTTTCTTCCCAGAGACCCCAACTCGGAGAACGAGGACGACGGTTACATTTTGGCCTTCGTTCACGACGAGAAGAAGTGGAAGTCGGAGCTGCAAATCGTGAACGCCATGGATTTGAAGGTGGAAGCTACAATTCAGCTGCCCTCGAGAGTTCCGTACGGTTTTCATGGAACGTTTATAAGCACTAAGGACTTGAAGAAGCAGGCCTGAGGAAATTTACTGCCCCTCAGGAGTAAATTAGCAAAATTTACAGAGGAGATTTGCCTGTGGGAAGCTATCTGATATGCCCCCGGAAACTCATCTGTTATATTTTTTGTGTATGTAGTTTTGGGTGTACTTAAAATATTTTAGAGTGAGGTTTTGGGACACCCAGCTTGTAGCTTTTGGGAATAGGTTTAGCATTCGAGCTCAGCTGGGTTGTCTCCTTATTCTCCCACTTTTGTATGATATGATTATACAGAAAGAGTGTGTATATTTCTCTGCAGATTCTGTTTAATTGTTGTGTAATTAAATTTAAACATGCAGTTTGCTTCTCCTCTCACTCTGTTCCACTTTTGTACGTGCTGTAATTTTAGTAATTTAAACTTGTATATACACAGTCTCTCAATAATTTAATAACTTTGGTTAAATAATATTTTTGGCTAGTCTCAACTTAAAGACGTAACATGGTAAATTAACAATTCACTAAATTTATAAGATAAAGCATTACAAAAAATGGGCCAAATATTTTTTAGTGGTCTATGAGGTAAGACCCCAATTTTGGACCAACCCGTGGTGAAAATATTGTTACTCATAAACTTGTAGTCAAGTCAGTTATTAATCTTAGTCCGAGTCAATTTCTACCAAAACTCCATCCGCGTATAGGGGCAAAAATTACAGTCCATTATTTTCTACAGAAAACTAAAAGTAGAAAGAAAAACAAAAAGAGTTTTAATAAAATGAGAAAAAAAAATATTTAAAATAAAACCCACACACCCATGACTCCCGTCGGCTCCCACTCCGTCTCTATTTCCTCAGCCACGCGCCACTTCATTCTCCATCTCCCCCGCTAACATCCCCCTCTCAACAACAGATGAATATTTTGTTTGTCAAAAAAAAATAAATAAATAATAAAATAACAGATGAATAAATTGCTCTCTCTTGGCATTGTCTTCCATCTCCATCTCAGGCAATGACTTCGAGGCATCGCATGCTCTCTCCACCACCATGGGTTACGGTGGTTGTTGGGGCAAAGTAGGTTGATTTTGAAGAACGCCTTCCATGACTATCATTCTAATTCCTTCCTTGAGAACCAGTGCTAGTAGACGTTACTAGGAAGATGGGGTTACGGGAATTTAGGGTAAAATTTTCCTTCAGTTCTAAAAAATAAATTAAAATAAAATTTACATGTCTATGTCGCAATATATATAATTGGATTGAAGGACAGTTTTGTACCTACATTTTAACGAGATGTAACAGAATAATAATGAAAATTCTTAATTGGATCGACACTTCTAATGAACTTGATCACAAGGTTACGATTATCAACTTTTCACCTGATGAGTTGGTTCAAAATTAGGGTCTCACCACATGGATTACCCAAAAAAAAAAAGAAAAAAAAAGAAAAATGAAAATTGGCCTAAAAACTTCATATAGGTCCCACATAATATATAAATTAATAATTTTTTAATACATAGTGTTTATGATTCAACTATGAGGCCTTCTTAAAATATGACTTAATCATTGTTTATGTCTTCCTAAATTGTTTTTGAGTGTTACATGGATTGTTTTTGTTGTACTTGTACAATGCTTTATGCATTTCCTTCGTCATTGTGATTTTCTTTACACCTTAGAGATAAGAGACAATTGATGTATGAAGTATTGTGTTACTATAGCTTTTGTTTATTTAAATAGAGTTTTTGCTCGTTTAAATGTTCATAAAATGGAATAATGTAGTACATTAAACAATGTACAGTTTATTTTTGAAAAAAAAAAAAGAAAAAAAAGTAGATTCATGAATTTTACTTAGTTAAAAAAACACATAGAATTGTTGATTCGTAAAAAGAGAAACTAAATACATTGTACAATATTTAAGAAAATAAGAAATAACTTGATAAATTAGTAAGTTATTAATTTATTGTTTATTTAATATTTTGCTGAAGGATAGTGCTATCTACACACCAATTTTTAATTCTCACACAGTCCTCTCAATTTTTGATTGTCGGATCGAAGGAATTGAAGAAGACCAATGACTAACAAACAACAATGTATAAAAAGTAAAAATGAATGTGAATAACGTGTTTCTTTGCTAAATTAACAAATTTGTTTGGTCCCAAAACTATTAATTTGTAGAAGTTTAACTTTACTAACATTTTGTTCATATGCCCCTTTAGGTATATTTTTAATATTTATTCCTTTTCAAACATGATGTTTTGATGGTGATCTTTTCTGTTTTGTCCATTTAAATTGAAACATGATGTTGGATTGAAAGGTAAGCAAGTGAAGAAAGGAATTGAAGAATATAATACAGGGAGAGTCATGTTAAATGTGTTGGGCTAATTAATTGAGCTCCATCAGGCCTTTTTCTAGTGAAGAAGACTAATCTTGGATGAGCCAATGAGTAACGAGTACTTAATGGAGTCTGGGAGAAATGTTCAAATTGCAAGTGAGTGGATGGGAGAAGAACTTGCATGAAAAACTTTAGTTGCAACAATCTTCGGACCCCATTTTTTCTGCATCTTTTTTCATTTTTTTTTCTCTATATGTTTCACCTCACGTATCAATCATGAGATACACAGAGAAAAAATAGAAGATATAAAACCAGTTTATCTGTGATCAAAGAAGTAGAGTAAGAAGATGAACACGCAAAGAGAGATAATAGAATAGGAAATTGGTTACAACTAAGAGACCGTTTGATAACTTTTTTATTTTTATTTTTTATTTTAATGTGAGTTTTTGAAAATTTAGTTTACTTTTGGTTTTTAGTTCTACACTGATTATTAAACAGACCTAATGTTTTTACACTAGAATGTGACCATTCATTTTTTTTCAGCGTTCTAAAAATCAGCTTAGGCAGTAGGTGGTTAAGGCTTGCCGCGATTTAGTGAAAATCATTTTGAAAAATCGATATGGAGTTAGGCGGCCTAGGAGGAGGCCCTAGGCGGTTTGGTGTTTTTTCTTTTTCAATTTTTTTTAATTTTATAATTAATTGTGTGCTTATTTCTTTTTTAGTTTCATGATGGTATACTTATGGAAATGGTGTACCTAATTTGCAAAGGATGGATTGACTACAAGTTCATCCAATTGTGAAATGAATTGGAGCACTTTGAGAGGATACATACAAAGAAAAGAAATAAACTAGATACAACAAGGTTAAATAATTTAGTCTATGTCCAATCCAATGCAAAGATCATGAACAAGAAAAATTTAGTCTATCTTCTAAGAATACTCCTCATTATGATTATATGCTCACTGTTTTTTAAATATTGAACATGTTGGATGGATGTACTTTGTGTATTCTTTTACTTTTATTTTTGCATTTGATTAGTTTTTTATTATCCATACAAATAGACATTTATTTACAAGATATACAATAATTTTACATAAATCTGCCTATCCTTATCTAGCTGCTTAGGTGCTCGACCCCTACGTACCGCTCGACTAACATCTAGCTCCTAGCGATTTTAGAATTTTTTTTTTTAGAGCGATAGAATTACAACATAACAAAAAAATGATATTGAATAGAGAGTATCTAATAACGACAACCCTTTCTTTCCTCTATACACCAATGTTTAGAGTCTTGATCGAATTCCAAGAGAAATAAAGATACAACATGTTTCATAATTTCATTGCTGTTGCAAATGGGGTAACTAATGGTGGCAGTTTCTGATTGGTAACTTGGGGAAATGTTAGGTTAACTCCAGCAAGAAACATCATAGCATCAACGACTAGCAAATATTTTTGCAAAAACTATCAATGAGATATTTTAGATCGTTACTGGTATGTTGACATCTCAGTTGGGTGTGTGAATATATAAGTCAACTCTTCATAATATAAAAGTGAAAAATGTCAGAGAAACATATATATATTTTAAATCACATTTTGTAAATCACATGATATGACACAATAAAGTAAGGCTTTATGATTTAATCAAAATTTTATTTTTAATGAATTCAACAAAAAAAAAAAAAAGCACATTATTTGAATTACAAACTATACTTTAAAATAATAGTCGTTTTCCACATAAAAATTGTTGCATATACAAAAAGTTTCAAACGAAATTTCAATTGTCAAGAGAAGAAAAATGATGTGATGTTGGCACAGAGAACTCACTCAACTCGTTCAAGAGGATTGACTTTTACATAAAAAGTTGAGGGTTACTAATGATCATGAGACTCAGCGTAAACTAAGCTTCTTCTTCTTCTTCTTCTTTTTTTATTTTTTTATTTTTTTTCATATGAACCTAGCTACAAGTTTGGTTTGGTGCTTGGGGGGTCCATCCCAAATATCATAACAAATTAAGGAGGTTTTTTTTGCATGATGCATTCAAGTTGCTACAAAAATGGTCCAATTGCTTGGCCACTACTATGATTATACTAAATTTAGAGGCTGTTTTATGGAGGATATGGGCTTTTCTGTTCATTGTGTTTAGATTGAGGGTGATGAGTATGTAGGGCATGTGTTGTCTTATCTAGCACTGCTCCGGTCATGGTCTTGTTTTGTTTTTACAGTGAGAACCAATGTCAAAAATGTATTCTGTGAGGTTGAATCAAGCATGATGCTTGGATGGGTGCTAATGCGCCTTACAAAATGGGTACATTATGCACTATAGAAAGAAAGGTTAATCCTTATAGTACATTTGAATTGATGTTGGAATGTGAGCATATTTATCACATGACGGATTCTACAATACTACTCTATGTTAGAATGTGAGCATCTAATCAAAACAATGGACATTGGATGAAAGATATTTCAGATCTCTTACGCACTTAATGCACGACTTTCACTTCTCAACACCCCTCAAGTCTTGCTATTTCTTGTTCGCCTAGTCATTATATATGTTTTTAGTTTTTATAAAGTAACATGAAGCTGTTGAATACTCTCAACAAATACTACCACTCTTCCCTAGGCTTTTCTAGGGTTCGAAAGGTTAAGTTGTAGGAAAGGATATGCTTTGTGTAGGTACCTATTGTAGCCATTTGAGTTGGTGTTTGTCATGTCAAGTGTCTTTAAGTTGTGAGCATGGACATACATTATGCATCTGGAATCAGTAGCTTTTAGAATTTCCCTCCCCTAGGACTTTCTCGTGTTCGAAGAATAGGGCATTCCATGTTGTGGATATGTCGTTTCATTACTTTTTTTTTTCATGTACCAACAAAACTCTATCCACAAACGAATCTAGTTCACTTTATGACAAATATGTACAAGCATACACACACGCACGCACACACACACACACGCACGCACGCACACACGCACGCACACACATATATATATAATTTGGCAAAAGCTCAAAAGGAGCTACTCGTAACAGTTGACGTGATTGTGGGTGAAAAACTTGGA